CAAGAGTTCTGTACTCATTTGTGCCATCAAATGGTCCAGCCATTTGACTTGCTTTCTCTAGATTGGGGCAAATACTTTTTGCTTTGTTTGTGGACACTTTGAAGGCTCACTTAATGATTCTTCACAGTGAGTGTGGTAGATCCGAGGGTTGCTGTATTGGGTGATTCACTCTACCTTGTTAGTTTTGTTCATTGTCAGTAAGACAATTTTCCCAGACTGGTTTTCTGACAATATTGTTGGAAATATAAGGAAATCTACAGTGAATGTGACATAATCTTCAACGCTTTTAACACTATTGCCTCCAACATTCTATGAGATGTCTCAGGGAGGGAGGGAGACCAAAGGAATGGACAAAATTGTGGATGCTAATATCGTGTAAGAGTCATTGTTAAACACAACTGTAAAAATAATTGTTTAGGGAGCCACTGATTATTATGCATGAAGAAGAGAGATTTGTACTCAGCAAAGTTATTCATTCCTGTCATGTCATTACTGTCTCTTTCCAAAGAGAGAAGGGGTTTCCTATAGTCTGGGAAAGTCATTTCTGTTTGTAGATGAAAATGTGCCAATTACCTTAAAACCTAGAATATTATAGGACTACCTTAATGAGATTCTTGATTACTCAAAAGAGATCGGTCTAGCAGTCCATATAGGAAAAAATGGATGAAAAATTGTTATTATCCAGGCTGTGAAATGAAATTGGATGAATAATTCATTTACTTAGTTTATCAATACATATAGCTGGGATAGATGTTGCATATGGATAATAAAGTGAGTCCAAGATTTAACAGGAGGAAGAGAACGGACTGGATTGTGTTGGAAAAACTCTGCAGTGCTTTCAATAATTTCAAATTACTATCTCATGAAAATTCATTTTTTACACGAGTTGCCACTCTTGTGATACCACAGTCTCAAAGGAATCAGAGCTGTGGGTTACCCCAAGGGAAATGGGAAGAATCATGGTGGACACAAGTAGACATAGCAGATTTCTGACAGTGATCTATACCCAAGAAGTGACACAAGGGACATCAATGAGGAAATGTATGATAAGAAAAGAGTTATTTATGTAGTGAGAATTAGTGAAAAAAATTGGATGGTTGCAATGATGTTCTCAGAATGTTAAAAGGCCAAGGCTGAAAACCTTCCCCTGAGTTCTAGTCCAGGGCAAGCAAGCTGACTGTGTGACCTTGGGAAAGCCATTACACTTTTGAGGACTTTGAAGTTCTTCCTCTGTAAAATGAAGGGATTGGACTGAATGATCTTTTAGGTTCCTTCATGTTCTAACACTTTGTAATTTGTATTGGTCCTTTCATGATCTTTTTTTTTTGGGGGGGGGAGCATTCAGGGTGCTACCTAGCTGCCCCAAGATCTTTCACTATTGAATAGATGTCTGGTTCGATTTATGGATGTAGTCCAAAGCCAAAAAGGAGAGGAAAACTAAATGGCTTGTATTGGGTTAGAATTAAAGACCTAGTATTTAGTCGAGCATCATGATAAATGAAGGGTGTCTAGAATGTAAATACCAGGCCTGATGAGAGGATGGGGGAGAATAATTTTTGAGAGTTGCATTTTATGAACAAATAAATAAAGAGCATTTATTAAGCACTTACTATGTGCTTGGTACTGTGTTAAATGCTAGGGATAAAGATAAAAACCAAAAAAACAATTCTTGCCCTCACGGAGCTTACATTCTAATGGGAGAGATAAAATACAAAGTGGAGTGGTAGCTAGAGAAGGGCATACTTTGGCTCTGAAAATTATCAGGATGGAATGGGCATGGTGAGTGGGGCTATGATCACGTATGTGTGCATTCAGGAAAGTGAGACATCTGTGGGTGTGTCTGATGTTTGCATTCACAACTTTCTGAATGTATTCAAACTTTCCAGGCTGAGCCTCAGGCCAAAGGTGACAGTTTTGGAAAGTCTGAATGAAATTAGTTTGGCTATATCTCTGTTATATAAGTGGTGGTGGGTAAAAGGGACTTTATTCACATTAGGAAAATTTTAAGTCTACTTAAGTTTACTAATGGGACACATGAAGCCTGATATGAAGTGAAAATTCTCTTTAAAGGCTATAAGCAAGGCCTCCATGCCTCTTTAGTTTGCACAAGGACACACGTGCAAAAAACTACATGCATGTGAACATGTGAACAATATGTGTGTGTGTGTGCGTGTGTGTGTGTGCGCTTTAGTTTTCAGTATGATCCTGAGTCCCTTTGCACTGTTTCATGGAAAAAAGGTTTGGGCAAAGGGGAACGTACTGTGCTCCAGGGGCTATGTTTTAGCTGTGGTCACTTAGCCAGTTAGGAGCTCACCTAACTAACCTATCAGAGGTGAGATGTTCAGTTGCCAGATATATCGTAAAGGGGATTCCTTTCATGTATAGGTTGGACTATATGGCTTCCAGAGTCCATTCCTACTCTTAACTTTTGTGATTTCTGAACTGGACAATAGCTTAGCCTATACCTGTCCATCATAAGAATAACAGGAAAGACTTTGTACAATTCTTTGCTAAAATTATATCCATAGCATCCTTTTGGTCTACCAATTTATTAACTGTAAAATTCAATTAAATTCAACAAACATTTATTATTTCCCCCCAAAAGGAAATTGTTAGTATGGCAATTTTCATTTTCAGTGCAGCCAGGCTAGCTCTATATGATCATTGCTTCCTTTTCTATATGTTCACTAACCTCCCTTTAATTCATTCTCAAATTTTGCCACGAATGAGTACTTGCAATGGGGAAATAGATGTCCTGATCTGAACTATACTCCTGGGACACTAACTGGTGGGGCCCTGAGAAATTACAACAGAATGGAAAGATGACCCAGCAGCATTCTGTTTTTCTAATCATCTCCTGTGAACTTGGTAGCAGGGCATGGTTCCATCAGAAGCTAGATATATTGGAGGCACTCAGTAACTGCTTTGCTGATTGATTGATACTTTTATTGTTATGAAGCAAGTAAGCTCTCAGGATGCTTTCAGGTGACAGGCAGTGTGAAATGTGGTGCAGTGTAAGAAAGAAAGAAGAAAAGAAAAAAAACATATTAAGTGCCTATGATGTAAGTGCCTATGATGTGCCAGGCATTGTGCTAAACATTTTATAAATATCTCATTTGATCCTCAAAGGACATATGTGCCATTATTATCCCTTTTTTACAGTTGAGGAAACTGAGGTAGACAGAGGTTAAGTGACTTGCCCAAGGTCACACAGCTAGTAAGTGTTACATGTCTGAGGCTGGATTTGAACTCAGGTCCTCCTGAATCCAGGGCCGGTGTTCTATCCACTGCACCACCGAGCTGCCCCGATCTATTATTTCTTCTGGAAGATTCCACACACTTTTGTTGTCTGACTCGCTTTTTGGAATTCTGGTTTTTCAGCATTCAGCTTTTATCTATATCTCTTCAGCCAGGTGTTATGAGTGCTATACCAGGGGTCATGTTGGAGTTAATAGTGCAACTTTCGGCATGGGTCCAGGTTTGCAAACTTTAGATCTGGAATTGTAAAGATAGAGAAAGCCGAGATCGGCTTTTCTGTCCTTGGGTTCACTTTCAGTTTGGAGACAACTGGAAATGTAGTTTATAATAGAAAATTTTTCTCTCAGATGAATTTGTTTTTTTTCCCAATAGACTAGCAAAGAACATGGACTGTTACAGCTTGAAGCAACTTTTTTTTTTACATTTAATTTTCATTTTCTCAATTAAACATAAACAAAAATATTTAACATTCCCTTTAAAAAATTTTTGCATTCCAAATTCTCTCTCCCTCCACACTCCCCTTCTTGAGAAGGAAAGTAATTTGATATAGATTATACATGTGTGGTCATGCAAAACATTTTCATATCAGTCATGTTACAAAAGAAAATACAGACCAAAAAACCAAATATAGTAAAAAAAAATATGCTTCAATCAGCATTCAGACTCCGTCAGTTCTTTCTCTGGAAATGGATAGCATTTTTCATCATAAGACCTTTGGAATTGTTTTGGATCATGGTGTTGCTGGGAATTGCGAAGTCATTCACAGTTGATCATCATACAATATTGCTGTTAACTATATATACTGTTCTCTTGGTTCTGCTCATTTCACTTTGCATCAGTTCATGTAAGTCTTCTCAGGTTTTTCTGAAAGCATTCTGCTTCCTATTTCTTATAGACCAATACAATTCCATCACAATCATATACCACAACTTGTTCACTATTCCCCAATTGATGGGCATCCTTTTGATTTCCTTGAAACAGCTTTTAACACACATTAGTTCAACCATTTCATTTTAGATATGGTGGGAACGTGATGGTATTAGAGGATCTTTGTGATCCTTTCGCAAGATTATAGAATTAGATGATACCTTAAAAATCCTGTGTTCCTACCTCTTAACTTTACCTATGAGAAAATTAAGTCCTAGAGAAAGACAACAATCAACAGAATGCAAACTCATTGAGGATAAGAATGGTTTATTTTCTTTCTTTGTATCCTCAGCACTTAGTAGGGGCTTAATGAATACTTGGTGATTGATTGGCTGAATTGCCCAAGTGTCATAATTGGACCTCAAATACAGGTCTTCTGTTTCACAATAAAGTGTGTTTTCTTCTAAACCACATATATCAAACACAAGGCCTACTGGCTGAATTGCTGGTAGCGATACTCCCAAATGGCTGCAACCAGATTATAATGCAATTGAGAAACATTTAGCAAAATAAATAAAAATACTATTGTTGTTGTTGTTCAGTTGTTTCTGACTCTTTGTGACCCCATTTGGAGTTTTCTTGGCAGAGATACTGGAGTGGTTTTCCATTTCCTTCTCTAACTCATTTTAGAGATGAGGAAATTGGGGCAAACAGGGTTTGTGCCCAGAGTTACACAGCTAGGAAGTGTCTGAAGCCAGACTTGGACTCAGGAAAGTGAGTCTTCCTGACTTTAGGCCCAAAACTCTATGCACTATGACACCACCTAGCTGCCCTATAAAATACTATAGAACATAGATAATATTAATATGTGGTTTTCTAAGCCAACCGGCTGCTCTCAGGGATCCTTATGTCTGGTTTAGTAGCCCCCATTTCTATTTGAGTTTGAAATGACTGCTCTATGTGCTTCTGGTGGTTTTGAGTAAGAAAAACCATTCACTAAGTCTGCACCTGTAACATTCATGTCTGGGACAAAGATGGCTATAGATCCCCTGTGACTCCTGCTGATTCCCCAGAACACATGGTTTGTGGGTATTTCTAAGCTTCGCGTTTTAGATTATCCTCTAACAGAACTTTCCAGTGCTGTGTAAGTGATGACTGCATAGATTGCTAAACTTGGTCTAATTGGTGGAGTTAGTTTGTGTCTCACTGTTATGGATTTCGTCTTCCATGAGCTTTGTACATTAGGAGTATTGGGCCTTCAGTCCATCCTGCAGCTACAGGATGTGTATGTCCTATATGTATGTCTCTCCCCTCAATTAGATTGTGAGCTCACTGAGAGCAGGGGCTATCTTGATTTTCTGTTTGTATTCCTAGCATTTGTCAGTGCTTGGAACACAGTAAGTGCTAAAGACTTGGTTTTCCATCCCATCTGGAGGAGTGTATGAGCCAGGAGGACTGAAGCAAGACAGCTGGCCAGGCACAATTTTGCCAAAGCTCTTGCAAACCCCAAAGAAGCACCTCCCTTCCAGGCCAGACTGTCAGACTTAGCAGCCATTGTAGTGGGGGTGCCTTCAGGCAAAAGAAATGGCTGCTTTCTTTACACTGCATGACTTTCCTTCCACCTATGGTCTTTATGCATCTGTTTTGATGTAGGGGTGTGATCATGACTCACATATCCTCTGGAAGATTATGATACAACTGGCTCTCTCTCATTAGGTTTAGTTCCAACTTCAACTGAAGTAATAAGGGAAAAATAAAGAAATAAATCTCCTTCCTCCTTCTGAGGGGTACTGACTTCTCTCTTCTTCGGTTGTATCCCATACACTCATTAATGCAGAAAGCATAGGTTGTTGGCCATCTGTTTTTTTTTTAATACAGAAAGATTTAAAAATGATGGCTAAGTGCCTCCTACTGCCTACATGGGGTTGGGTGGGTTTACCACCACACCAAACCCCTACCCCTCAGTTTGATATATAATTCATTCCCTTATTAATTTTTAACACAGGTTCTAAGGCAATTGAAGAATATGTTATAATACTTCTTTATAAATTCATAGAAATGAACAACCTCTCTCCAGTCAATCAGTTAGTTCTGAGCCCCAAATTCAGAGTATAATGTAAACTAGGGAAACCTTTTCCCATAAGCTTTCACTCCTCTTTTTCAAACTGCTCCCTAACCACACAAGCTTAAATAAACATTGGCTGACTTTCAACTCATATTGAATAAAATGTATATATAATTTAACAGTATAACAACTAATATAAAGACATATTTAAATATTTCAACAGTGTATCACAGTGAAAGAATCATTACCAGAATCATTCCTACCCAGCAAGGCTATTACTGACTTCTTCTCAATTCTGGAAACACAATTCTATCATTCAGTTCCCTCTAGATGAAGGCAAAAAAATCTCCCAGGAATGCTTTTTATTATACTTTCATTGGATATGAACTAAATTCTCATGGGAAATATTTTTTTTCAGTTTTTCTCAAAGATGATAATTAACTTCCTCAGTGTCTCAGGAAAGACATTCTGTTAGTCATTTCTCAACGAGATTCATATAGTCTCCGACCATGATAGTTGACTCCTCCACATGACATTTAAACCATTGCTCTCCCCAAGAGCTCTCTTAAAGATACAGTAAAAATATCTATTATCTCTGTGGGAAGGGCTATTGAAGCTGAAGTTATATTTAATAGCAGATTAATTAGCATAGAAATGAAAAGAAATCATCTACTTTAACTGGCAACCCAGAAGAGATGAAACCACCGTCCCTTTAACCCCATAGTTCCCATTGGAACAGAGGGAAAAACGTAAAGTGAATGATTGACTGGTAAAGGGGGAAAATACATTTTCCCAAGAGAGAAAGGTGTTGTAATAGAGCTGGTGCATCTCACTAACTCCAGAGTCTGCTGGTCACTGCCTTGGTTCTTCTTGCTTGGGACCTAGTCACTGGCTTTCTCCACTTGGTCATCAGCAACTTAGTTTCAGGCTCATCCTTGACTACTCCTTGATGATGCACCCTGCCAAGGAGAAAGGGGTCTCAGCAAAAACGGATGCCAGACTCTCCATTTTCTATCTGTCCTCATGACCTCATAGGCTTCTCAGTTGCCTTCTTGGCTTTCCTCTGAAAGTGTGGTCCAGGTCAAAATCAATGAAACTTGAGAAACTCTGAGTAAAAAAATCTGCCTCATCGTAGGCTAACATTTTTGGCCCACCAAGTATTCATGGTAGCATCTCTAAAGGAAGATGAAGATGAAGAGATGAAGGCTCCCATATAAGATAACGTACCCTTTGTATGCTGGATGTGTGGTTTAAACTCAGGACATCACGGTGTTATTATTATGGATCACATGCACTTTGGCAAGAAGACCTTTGCCTACCTTGTTTCCAAAGGTGCAATTGAAAGATCTGCCATAACTATGCCAAGTGGTCACGCCTCTTCTGGGGGTCTTCTGTGACTGGGGCAGTTTCCACCCTAGGTAAGCCAGCTTTGGTTCTTTTCCCCTGAGAAGTGAATAGGAGAGAATGTTTTTGTTGTCAGCAGAAGAGTCTCATGCAGATGTTTCTGCTTAGGAACACCTGGCAGCTTATAAAACTCACATGTGATCTGGGGGTTGACTGAGGAACACACACAGAGCCTGGATAGCACATCCTGTTTTCCCTTTGCTTGTGTGTGTCTTGTAGCTCTATCTTGTTTCATCTATGTAAGCCTTGGCTTAGACCTTAAATCATGAGAGTAGGACCAGTACCTGCTTTTGTTGGTGTGTTGTGTATCCTCTGCAATCCCTAGTAAAGGGTCAGCAACAGAATACGTGCTCATTGCATACCTGCTGGAAAAGTGGATTGAGTGCTGGATCTGAAGCCAGGAGGATAGGATTTCAAGTCCTGCATTAGACATTTAGTCGTATGACTTTAGTCAAGTCACTTGACCTCATTCATTCATTCATTCATTCATTCATTCATTCACTTCTTTATCTATCTATTTATTTGTTTATTCATCTATTCATTAATTCATTTATCTATTTATCTATTCATTCATTCATTCATTCTTTTGTTTGTTTATGGTGAAGCAATCGGGGTTAAGTGATTTGCCCAGGGTTACACAGCTAGTAAATGTTATGTGTCTGAGGTCAGATTTGAACTTGGGTCCTCTTGACTCCAAGGCTGGTGCTCTATCCACTGCGCCACCTAGCTGCCCCCCCTTTTTTATCTGTAAAATGGGTATACTAATATCTGTTGTACTAGCTTCACAGAGTTGGTCTGAGGACTAAATGAGATAAGAAATGTTAAGTGCTTTGCAAGCTTTAAATAAAGTATTTATTTTTTGGTCCAGACCAGTGACTTAATTAATGTAAGGAGCTTGGATGTGAGGAAATTCCCTCCGACGATGCAGATTGGTCTACTCTCTGTCATTCACATGCAACATTCCATGTCTACGTCACCTCTGCACAGGCTGTTTGCCATGCTTGGAATACTCTCGGCCACTTTGGATTCCTTGAGGCCCAATTCAAATGCCACCTCCTATATAAGCCCTTTCTTCATCCCCCTTCAGTTGCTAGTGCTCCCCCCATTACTTTATGTAGGATGCCCCAAAATTCTTAGTTCAATGAAAATGTATTAAATTTATCAAGCTAGCAAAGCTTAAAGTTGCACTAAGACTTTTGGGACACCTTGTATTTAGTTTGTATGTTTTTGTATTTACTTATATATGTAGGTGTTTTTTCTTCAATAGAATATAAGCTTAAGGGCAAGGACTATTTTGGTTTCTGTATATCCCCAGTGCTTACTATAGTGTCTGACACATAGTAAATACTTAATAAGTGCTTATTGAATGAATGAATGAATGAGAAACAGTGGGAGATATCATCAGAAGGGTAGATTGTTGAGGCAGCTAAGTGGTGCAGTGGATAGAGCACCGGCTCTGGAGTCAGGAGGACCTGAGTTCAAATCCGGCTTCAGACACATAACACTCACTAGCTGTGTGACTCTGGGCAAATCACTTACCCCCAATTGCCTCACCAAGAAAAAAAAAAGAAGAGTAGATTGGAAGCAGATTGCAAAGGCTCTTGAGTGACTGAGGATAAGGGGAGACTGGTAGCAAAGAGGTGAGGTAGCTAGAGGGCAGAGTAGGTAAGACGACTGGATTTAGAGTCAGAAAGATCTAAATTCAAATCTGGCCTCAGATACTAGCTGTCTTACCCTTGCCAAGTCATTTAGCTCTCTCAGCCAGCTCCTTTATCTGTAAAATGAGAATATTAATAGCATCTACCTCCCATGATTGTTTTAAGGATCCATTGGGAGAAAGTATGTACAATGCTTTACAAGCCTTGAAACCCTACATAAATGTGAGTTGTTATCATTAGAGGAAGCAAGGACATCCCGATCATCCAGACACAAAGTGCTTAGATTGGGGAAGTGGAATTGAATTGAAGGGACAAATTGATTGTGATTGTTGAGTTCTAGATATTGAAAGAATTTTTAAAAAGCGATAGCCCGTAAACAAGTGGATTCCCATTGCACTTGGGACAAAGTCTCAGCGTCTTAGCCTGCCTTTCCAGGACCTCTGTAGTTGGACTCTGTCCTACCTGGTTCTCCATTTTCGTCCTCCATTTCTTACTCCATTTTTCTCTGTCTCCTTGTTTTTCTTCTCACATAAAGGATTTGGCTCAAGATGTTCCTTCCCCATCCCTGCTATTTCCTCCCTTTTCCTCTTCATCTCCCCAATACCACATGATCCGACTCCAAGTCTCATCTCTTTCGTAAAATCTTCCCAGACAGTTCTAGTCCCTGTTGATATCTTCCTTCTGTGAACTCCCATAGGACATACTATCTCTCTCATTTTGGCTCTGACTACTTGCATTATTACTTAACTGTTTTATGAACAGATGTCCTGCTTGCCCAAATTTAAACTCTTCACACCTTCCTCACTGACTTACACTCTTCCATCCAGTGATGATGGCCTCCTGGCTATTCCATGAACAAGACATTCTACCTTTCCATTCCTTGGACATTTTCCCTGGCTGTCCCCCATGACTGGAATACTCTCCTTCCTCCACTCTGACTGCTGATCTTCCTGGCTTCCTTTAAGTTCCAACTAACATGCAGGAAGCCTTCCTCAGTCTCTTTTAATTCCAATTCCTTCCCTTTGTTAATTATGACCGATTTATCCTAGATATAGCTTGCTTTGTGCTTATTTTTTTGTGTGTTGTCTCCTCTATTAGATTGTAAGCTCCTCTGGAGGGTTTGAGGGCAGGGGATATCTTTTGCCTCTTTTTGTAACCCCAGAGTTTAGCACTGTGCCTGGAACATAGTATGAACTTAGTAGAAATTGATTGATTGATTGATCTTCAAAGGCAGAGACTTGATAGTATCTCCTTTGTACATTGTTAGGCACACAGTAGGCTCTTAAATAGTTCTTGGATTGAATCAAACATACTTGTCTGGTACCATTACTATCTTGGCTTGCCAGGATGAATTTTGACTTGTTCACTTGGGAAACCATCAGATTTGATCTCTTTCTGTTTTTAATTCCCCTCTTCCCCCACCCCCAGGCCTTTTCGGTCTTGTTCTCTTTTGCAGTCTTTCTCACTCCTGTCTCAGAGCATTTCCCACTCCCATCTCACAATGTTCCCTGTGTTGAAATCAATTTTCTGCAGTTTGTGGGTTTCTGTCTTGCTCTGAACTCTCTTTTTTGTTCTGCTCATTATAAAAATGGTTGCTTTGGTTGTGCCAACAATGTAGCTCTCTCAACAAGCTATCTAGATGACTAGGGAGTTAGGAGGGTAAAAAAAGAAGTCCCAAATCATCCCTTCCCCATCCCTCCCCCCCCAAAGATGTGAAGACCCTCGAATGAATCTCACCTGATTCAGAAGTGGTTTTTGTGTTTGGGAATTATAAATAATAATGGTGAGCCCATGCTTTTCTTGGGCTTTTGTATCCAGATGCCAAAGGCAACACCTTGTTTCTAACAGCTGCTATTCAGGGTACAGACATCCCTAAATCTTAGCAACAGTGGAGGCAGCCAAAGAAAGCTGCATTTAGAAACAGGGCCTCACTTTGGCATTTTGCCAAGGTGTATTTTCAGGGATGTGCCTGAATTTTGTATGAGAATTAAGGAGTAAAATGTCAGGATACAGCTTTGGCTATGGGCAGAAAATATCACCTACTGTTTGATATCTGAGTCTCCTCAGTCTTCATGATTTGGCTAGAAATGGTAAGAACTAAGGCTTTCCATACTTTTCAATAACCTGAGGTTCTCTATCCATCTCCCCTTTTAATGGGACCTGTTATAGTCATACTTCGAATGGTCCTGTCATCTTATCAGATTCATTCAATTCAACTAGTGTTGATTACATGTTGACTGTGTGCCAGGTGCCATGCTAGGTGCTAGGGATGTGAAGATAAACACAGAAATGGTCCTTAACCTTAAGAAGTTTTACAAGGTACTCATCAATGTGGTTATCTCCTCCAACAGCAAAGATTGCAACCCATCTATACCTACCTATCCTGTGTGACTTTGACCAGCGTCTTCCCATAAATTTTTTACACAAATTCAACCCAAGGGGCTGGGGGCTTTTCTCTAGATCTCTTGACATTGAGGAACTATCAGTGGACCAAGCAGGTTGTCCATTGATTGGCCCTTATTCATGCTCGAAGATTGGCTCATTGTTGTTATTGCTCTGAAGTGTCTACAATGACATAAAGTCCCATTTGTAATTCCTGTTTGTTATGCCTTGTATATATACTGTGTGTATATAGTATAGATACATACACATATGTATAGTATATGCATATATATGTATATATACAGTATATGTGCTGTTCATTTCCACATGAATCTCTCCATTGCCATCTGGCTAATCCTTGACTTCAAATTTTTAGGGACTATTGTGTTCTGTTGTTCCATGACTCATAGCCATAGAAAATTACTAGAAGAATATTGGCTCTAAGAAGTGAACCTTTATGGTATCTCCATAACGCAGTCATTAAAAAAACTGTTTAATGTCCCAAAGGCAGTCTGGTCCATTACCCTCCTCTAGGTCAATTCTGGGCCAGGTCATTTTCAATTTGCACCATCTATTAGTTAGTAAGTCAGTCACTAAACATTTATTAAGCACCTACTCTTGACCAAGAATTGTACTAAGCACTAGGGACACACAAAGAAAAGAAAAAAGATAGTTCTTGCCCTCAACAAGGTCACAACGTAATGGGGGAGATGACAAGGAAGCAAATATGTACTAACAGGAAATAGAAAAAATTATTAAGAAAAGGAAGATGCTAGAATTGAGAGGGGCTGGGAATGGCTTCCTGCAGAAGATGAGATAATGTCCGATTGTAGCTGAGACTTAAAGGAAGCCAGGAAAATCAGTAGGTAGAGACGTGTAACGAGTACAATCCAAGTGCGAGAGACTATCAGAGAAAATGCCTGAAGCTAAGAGCTGGAGTATCTTGCCTGTGAAACAGCAAAGAAATCAGTATCACTGGATTGAAGAATATGTGGGTGA